TTTTTGCGAGATGTTCCAACCTAACCATAATTTTTAAAAAATTCCTGAATATTTATAAGTGACCCCCTTTTGTTAGTTCATGATTGGCAACCTCGCAAAAATTCAAAAACATGTATTTTTAAACTTATTTTCAACCTGAACTTTTTCAGAATTTTTTGAACCCGGCATCATGCCTAAAAAAATTAAAACTCGCTTAAAAAGGCAAAAAATCGCCATAAAATATATATCAAGTAGCCATAAAGCCCTAAAAGGCTCATAAGATAGCGTGCAGAATTCGCCATTAGTTTTGTTTAGTTTAGATATTTAGCGAAAATTATCAAGCCTGCTGAATTATTATTCAAATTATTCGATGCCCAGAAAATTGCACCGGTCATCAATGAGGATAGCGACGACGATTAATAATATATACATGAACATATATAAATATATTATGTTGATCAAAATAAAGAAATTCCAAAAAGCATTTATAACCTTCAAATATTTCAAAATATTTCCAAAATGAAAAAAAGCATATGGCTAAAATTTTCAGAAAAAAATTCGGTTATGGGATGAAATTGTCGTACGATATTTTTTTCTGTCTTAAATTCATCAGTCGTCCTCCGATACTCGTAGAAAATACTTATTACTGATGTATTCTAGTGTCTTAAGATTGCAGAACTATTCTAACCACACTTCAATGCCGTCTGAGAGTTTTGCGACTCTCTCAAGACCATTTTATGGCATTTTGAGTATTTTAAGAATGCCCCAAGGATATTTTGTAAATGTTTTAGAGTTTTAAGACTGCTTTAATGCTGAATAGTAATGTTAATCGAATTTTAGGGCTGTCTCAGAATTGTATTAGTGTGTTACGATTGTCTTAACCCTTTGCGTCACGGTGGGACGCTCAGCGTCCCACCTTTTATCCGTTGGTTTTTTCACCTTTAAAAATCAGTTTCTCATGTTTTTTACGTCGTGATTAATTTTCTACATAGCTGAGGCATTTATTTGTCGAATACAAGACATCATACATATTAACATACTATAGTTCATTAATTATAAACAATAATATACCAAAAAATGGCCATTTTTTGAAAAAGAAATCGTTTGTGAAAAATAATCACATACAATTCGCTTGAAAAACGCTACTCGGGAGTTTTCGGTGTCGCCGATTGCGAATCTGATGTCAGTTTCTAAAAATTTAAAATGGCGGATCCAATATGGCGGATATGAAAATTGAAAATCTACTGAATTCGCTTGAAAAAAGTTACTCGGGGGTTCGCAGGGTTGCTGAATACGAAAATGAAATTAGATTTTGGGATTCAAAACGATTGAATATAAGTGGAAGACGCTTATATACGAGTGAAAACTGACATCAGATTTGTAATCTGCGACCCCGAAGACCCCCGAGTAACTCGTTTCAAGCAAATTCATCCATTTTTTAGAAAATTGTCGGCCATATTGGATTCGCCATTTTGAATTTTTAAAAACTGACATCAGATTCGTAATATGCGACCCCGAGAATCCCCGAGTAACTTCCTTTCAAGCAAATTCATCCATTTTTTAAAAAGTCGTCCGCCATATTGTATCCGCCATTTTGAATTCCTGAAAAATGATATCAGATTCGTAATCAGCGACTCCAAAAACCCCTGAGTAACAAGTTTCAAGCGAATTCAGTGAATAGAAAAATGCGTGACTGAAAGGGTTAAGGCGATATTAGGGATGTTTTAGTGTTTTAAAACTTCCATAATATTGCATAATTGTTTTAATCAGAGCGATGAACTATCTTAGGGTTATCTTGCTATCTTACCTGTGTCTGCAGGCTATCTTATGAGCCTTTTATGGCTATATGGCTACTTGATATATATTTTATGGCGATTTGTTGCCTTTTTAGGCGAGTTTTAATTTTTTTAGGCATGATGCCGGGTTCAAAAAATTTTGAAAAAATTCAGGGTGAAAATAAGTTTAAAAATACATGTTTTTGAATTTTTGCGAGGTTGCCAATCATAAACTAACAAAAGGGGGTCACTTATAAATTTTCAGGAATTTTTTAAAAATTATGGTTAGGTTGGAACATCTCGCAAAAAATATTTTCAAATACCTTTTGATACGTTTTGTATGCCATAATTTTTTTAATAAAATTGTATCTGATAGGTCTCGTGACAAAAATAAAATATGAAAATACTTCATAAGGCAATTTCTCCGAAAAGGGGTGGTGTACGGAATTAAAAATTTCTCCAAATTTTTTTTCGGGTCAACGAACTTTTTGGTGACATGCTGGTCATAATCCGTTTGGGGGCCGATTGACCTCTTCTTAACCTGCTAGAGCCTTTATTGAGTTTGTTTAAGCACAGTAATAAGAAACTTTTTGATCAATATTATTCTCCAATAAATTTTTGAATTTATTGGCTGTCTCTTTTATGTATGGAACACAAAACCATTTACATTTATCATTTTGTTTTATTTCTTGCATGCTCTCATTTCTGTCGGAATCTAACTTAACTTTATTGAACTTATCTATTAACCATTTGATTCTTTTATTTATATTTTTAAATATGAAACTTAAGGGATAATCATTCTGTATTAAAATTTCAATTATCATATTCAGATTTTTATTGTGAATTTTGGATGAGAAAGATAAAACACTTTATCTACCAAATTAAATATAATACCTCTTTTTGGGTAGTTGGATGTTGAGAAAAATAGTTCAGAAATCTGCCAGAAAACGTCGGTTTCTGGTACCAGTCAAAAATAAGAGAATCGTCTTTTATGATAATAGTCAAATCTAAAAAGTTAATCGAGTTACTGCCCACTTCTAGAGTGAATTGTAATTTCTCGTGATATGAATTGAATTTCTTAGTTATATTTTTAATTTCTGAGTTAGGAATGCATAAAATAATGTCATCTACATATCTATAGTAAATATGTATTTCGTATTCTAATCTCTCATCACCCAACTTTCCAATTCGTTCATCTCTAAATTCGCAATCACAGGTGAAATCGGTGAGCCCATAGGTGTTTCATAATTTTGTTTGTAATATTGATTGTCAAAAGTAAAAAAAGAAGAGTTCAAAATCATTTCGATCGCTTTTAGAAATTCTTCTTTTGGTAAATTACACATTTTATTAATATAATTCCATCTATTTCATAAAGCATCTATTGCTAATTTGTGTGGTATATTAGTAAACAAGGATACAACATCTAACGAAGTCAAGCTGTAATTTTGTATAATTTTTACATCTTTCACTTTTTCAACTAATTCTAAGCTATTTTCTATACTATTAGGAATCTTCGGAACAAAACACGATGTTGAATAAATGGCGAATGAAATGCCACGGCGTGCGCCTACCACACGTGTCACAGGGTGTTCCGTCAGTGGCGGTGTGGGCGAGAAAAGAACTCTGGCTTCTCTCTTAGTTCAATTTACTTTATTGTGCGTTCACAGGATACAAAACTGTGTCGAATAGCGAAGGAATCACACGTCGAAATACAAGCGTCTCGAAACTCGTTGTTCGCCGGTACAGTAACGGACTTATTCTGTTCTTTTACGTACACGAGAGCTCTGAACGCCCTCTCTAAAAATACGCGTCGTGCCGAAAGTAGCTAAGCATGCGATCATAACGCATAATCGCGCACGGCGCGAGATACAATCCTGTATCGACGGTAAATAATACATGTGACCTGTGTCTTAAACTACGAAAACGTAACGGAACGGATGAAAGCTAGAATGATTATTATACAATGCCGCCGCCCTTGAAAGGCTCCGCTTTCAAAATGTAAGCACAAGTAATAAGAAAAGGAAATGGCAACTGGATCGTCACCGCAACGCAAGCTTCCGGAGTCTTGTGAGATTAGAACAAATTAACATTGAGGATTAACAAGTATGCGATGCTGCAATGCTTGATGCATACAAGCGCTAATACAATTCAATGTACTTAATCTAACTTGAAATACAATGAAACTACGCGTGAGACAGAACATATTTAATGTTTAGTGTTTATCATTGGAATCATCTATAGGTAATATCGCTATTCTAGTTAACGGTCTTGTAAGAACGCCCTTTGCTGTTTTTATCTCAGCAGTTCTCACAACGCCGTCTACGCCTGGATGGACGTCTTGTACACGTCCTAATAGCCAATGAAGAGGGTGTAAGCCCTGTTGTTTTATCAGTACGACTTAACCGATCTTTAATTGATCCCCCTTGTTAACCCTCCATTTAGAACGCGCTTGTAGAGTGTGGAGGTATTCTGAACTCCACCGTCGCCAGAAATGCTGCCTTAATTGTTCTACGCGTTGCCAACGAACGAGCCCATTTTCGTTTATGTTGCTCAAATCGTGACAAGGAAAACTGTCTACGGTAGTGCCAATTAGAAAATGTCTGGGGCTCAAATAAGCAAGATCATTGGGGTCTTCGCTCAATGGAGCGATGGGCCGTGAGTTTAATATTGCTTCTATCTCGCGCAAAATTGTCTGCATCTCTTCGAAGGTCAAATGGGCATTGCCAACTATACGATATATATGGAATTTTGCAGACTTTATCGCGGCTTCCCACAGTCCTACACAATGTGGAGCGTTGGGAGGGATGAAGTTCCATGTTATTCACTGATCGCGCAAAAATAACCGGATTTCATCTTGTATGCACTCCTTTTCCAGAAAATCAAAGAATTCGCGCAAACGATGACGGGAACCTACGAAAGTAGTGCCATTGTCTGACACATGTGGAAAGGCTTCTCTCTGCGCGATATAAACCTTTTGAAGGCTGCTAAGAATGTGTCGGTGGTTAAATCACTAATCAGTTCTATGTGTACCGCCTTGGTAGCGAAACATACGAACATGGCGATGTATGCTTTGTGAGTGCGCGCGTTTCTGCGTTTCCCCTCTCGCAAAGTTAACGGACCAGCGTAGTTCACGCCGCAATACGAGAATGGCCGGGAAGCAATGATGCGACTAGGTGATAGGGAGCTCATAATGGTTTCTGAATGAACAGGCTTAACTTTGAAGCATTTAACGCATTTTAGAATGATTTATTGTGTTAGAGATCGCAACGCTAAAGGCCAAAATTGCTGTCGGACGGCGGCCATTGTAGCCTGGGTGCCGGCATGTAAGCTGCGCACATGCGCTTGCGTGACGATTCGTCTTGATAGCTCGTGATTTTTTGGTAGTAGCACCGGATGACGCGCGTCCTGTGTTAGATTTGAACGTTCTAATCGACCTCCAACTTTAATTAATCCGTCGTCGAGAAATGGATTGAGTATCAGAATCCTACTAGATGCACCGAGGCTCTTGTTGCTGCTCAAGGCCTTGTACTCCTCGGGAAAGGAATGCTGTTGCACGATCCTGCACATGAGTTGCAATGCTGCCGTGATCTCTTCGTGAGAGACGAAATGTGTTGTAATGCCTGCAGGTCTCCGTAAGAACCTCGAGCAATATGCCACAACGCGACAGGCTTTGTCAAGGTTTGAATGTTTGTTGAGAATGTTTTCTATGACGCTGGTGTCAACGACTGCGATGTAGACGTGTATTTTTCGAAGCTCGGAGGTGTCCTCCTGGCGTAAGAATTGATTGGCGGGCCAGAAATTCTCATCGTGCTGCAGAAAGTCGGGGCCCTTCCACCAAGTGGTTGCATGAATTAAATCGCTCGGATTCAACCCTCGTGAAAGTAAGTCGGCTGGATTTTGACTGGACGGTACGTGTCGCTAATCCGTCGTTTGAGCCAATCGTTGTATTTCCCCTATGCGGTTTGCGACGAAGACTGAAAACATGCGTGATTCTGAGGATATCCAGTTCAATGTAATTGTTGAATCTGACCATAGATACACCTTGATGTCAGACGTATCTATTGACAATCGAATCGTCCATCAGCCGCGTAGAAGTGCTGCAGATAGTTCCAGCTTCGGCAATAATACAGCCTTCAACGGCGCAATCCTTGATTTAGAGCAAAGTAGTTCTGAACGATACTTATTCGCATCGAGTTCAGTGCGGATATACACGCATGCTCCGTATGCATTTTGACTGGCATCACAGAAGCCGTGTATTTGTATGCGTTGACGTTCAATACCGTATTTGACACGTCTGGGAATTGCTAGTTGGTTAAGCTCCGTCAGCTGTGACTTAAAGGTGATCCATCGCACGTGTAAATTCTGAGGAACTGACTCGTTCCAATCGATGCCTGCTCGCCAAAGATCTTGCAGTATTAACTTGGCAATGATGATGATAGGACCTAGCAAGCCTAGCGGGTCGTACAATTTGGAAACGTCCGATAGAATTTTTTGCTTTGAAATCGTGTCATGTGAGATGATGGGGTCGTGTGAAAAATGTAATGTGTCTGTATTGCCGTTCCATTTGATCCCCAAGATGTGAGCGCTTTCGTCGTCGTTGATAACAACGGGTTTGTCATTTCTGTTAGATATTGCGTCCAGCAACCCTTCTGGGGTGTTGGAAGCCCATTTTCCAAGTTCAAATGCGCCTAGCATCAGTAGTTTGATCGTTTCATCTCGAAGAGTCTCCGCTTCTTGAATAATGTCTGCTCTGGTTAGTAGGGCGTCGACATAGAAGTCACGCCTTATACACGCTGATCCAATGGGAAACATCGACGAGTGATGGTCGGCTAGATGTTTGATGCACCTGGTTGTGAGGAAGGAAGCCGATGACGTGCCATAGGTCACTGTCATCAGTTCGTATATCTTGATATCCGCCTTAGAGTCGCTGCGCCACAAAATCCTCTGAAGAGTTGTTTGCGAAAGGTGTATAAGCACCTGTCGGTACATTTTTATGATCTGCGCGCGATCAGAGCGTGAGCGAAGGTACGGAATCGCATTACGATTGACATCAAATCCAGCTGCACCACTGGGCCGACTCTCAAGACGTCGTTTAGTGATAATCCTGTGTCACTCTTACTTGAAGCGTCGAAAACGACACAAATCTTGGATGATTGTTTTGCGCCCTTGAAGACGCCATGATGAGGCAAATAGAAAGATGCTGTATCCTCAGATGGAAACGTGCTAACTTCCTTCATGTGTCTTAGTTTCAAATATTCGTCCATGAAGCGGACATACTGGTCCCTTAAATTAGGATCCCGAATGAAACGACGCTCTGTTCCATGTAAGCGTCGCAATGCGATGTCCCTTGAGTTGCCAAGGTTGCCGATTGATTCTTCCTTGATCGGAAGTTTTACTACATATCTGCCCTGTTCGTTCTGGCTGACGTTAGCTGCGAAGTGCTCCTCGCAGTAAGCATCGTTTCTGTTGTTCATCACGTGATCACCGTGATGTTCAATTTGCCAGAATCGTGTCAGTTGGTCATGCAATTGGGTATTGGATATGGTAAACGCTTGTACGTTTTCTGCAGACGCGGCTGTGCCACTGCGACGTCCAGCCAGAATCCACCCTAACGTTGTTTCTTGCAGGGTCGGATGGTTTTGAGTGGCCACGATTTGTCCTACACAAAGCAGCTCCCAAAATATTTCTGTTCCGATCAAAATATCGACCTTGGAGGAAACGTTGAAACGAGGATCCGCTAGCTTGAGGTTTCGAGAAATGTTGTAGTCTTCACGCCTTGAAGTAGCCATTGGAAGCTTCCCGGTTATCCGCTCTGTGGTAATTATTCACTTTAGGGGATCCACCTCCAATGACCTTGACCTTGACATATGTTGTCAAGGTCATGACCCTGAGTAACCTCCAACAAGTTTTAGCCGTCGCTCGCCCTTCGTTAAAAAGTTATGATCAAAAAAAGTTTGAAAAATTACGTTTTATTTCTGCTATATATGTATAATATCAAGTACTATTCTACACCTTTCCCTGTTTAGAAACGTTAAACTTTCCACGCGAAGTAATCTTCACCCCCCCCCCCCCTGCACAGGGGCACACGACTTCTACGATTGTACTGTTGCTATGATAGTA